ATATATATATATATATACATATATATAAAAGGAAAAGAAGAAATTGCCTATCAGAGTTCCATTGGTCACAAATAACTTAAGAGCATACATAGTAGAGACTACTACAAGTATTTCCTTCATGGTGAACATAAAAAAAAAAAAAAAAAAAAAAAAAAGTGAACGTTTCCAGAAAAGGATGCTACTCACAAGAGCACTTTCCAAATGCATCTCACTGCAATTATGGTCAGACCTGCACAAATCTGTCCTCAATCACGTCTAGAGCTATGTAGAAAAAGACCTGGTGTGAGTATAGCCTCAGAAAAAAGAGGCTTCAAGGTACCAGCCACTTGTGTGCGTAACCAGCTGGCCTAGATTGCTTGCTCACCCAGCCGGTATTGGTAGGGTCCTTGGCCATCACGGGTGTGTATGTGTGTGTGTTGGGAGGGGGAGGGGGGGGAGGGGGGGGAGGGGGGTGGGTATGTGTGGGGTGTGAGTGTTGGCCATAGACACTGCTGTTACTTGATGAGGGCAGGGGAAGTAGATGGGAAGTGGTACCAGCCACTTGTGTGCCTAACGAACTGGGCTAGATGGCTTGTTCCCCTAGCCAGTATTGGTAGAGTCCTTGCCAATCACGGGTGTGTGTGTGTGTGTTTGGTGTGTCACTGAGTGTTGGCCATAGGCACTGCTGTTACTTGATGGGGGCAGGGGAAGTACATGGGAGGTGCAGCCACTAGCAAAATGCTCGGTCTTTGCGTTAGCCAGCCTCCCCCACCAGCACTGGAGCCCCACTCTACTCCCTGACCACTGCCGATTAGGGTGGAGAGCAACGTGCATCCCCTTGATTTTGAGAGGTAGCTATGCCTGCAGGTGTCCCCTCTATAGGCTTAGGAATAGTGGTAGGTTGGAAGCGAGAGGGGAAAATTTGAGGGAAAAATATAGCTTAGCTTCCCGAGGGACAAAAAAAAACTTCCACTGACCTGGTATGGGCAAAAGAGAAATTATTTTTTGTATCATTGGAATTTTAATGGATGTCCGGAAGGACAAAAAAAAACTTCCACTGACCTTGTATGGGAGTAAATGACCAAAGAAATTGAAAAATTTTTATAAACCCTGAAAGAGGGGGAGTCGTTCAAACAATTTAGCACAACAAGGAGGATGCCCGCCTCGACTGCGGCGGGGATTAAGAGCAGGGGAACCAAAAAAAAAAGAAGAAAAAGCTACGCCCACGGCATGCAGCGCAGCCCCGTGGAAATCAACTCTCTGAGTATGGTCACCACGGCCACGCCCACGGCAGACCTACTCTTCGCCCACTACTCCCTCTGCGGTGCCTCCCTGCTGCTCCCCTCCCCTCCCCCCCCCTCTTCTCATCCCGTTCCTCCTGCTCCCGCTGGTCCCTCTCTTGCTCCTCGCGTTGCCCCTCCCCCCGTCCACTGCCCTGGTCCTCACCCTTCCACCGCCCCCTCTCCCGCTGTCCGACAAAGGTGCGTGAACTCGCAGCTGTGCGATGTCCCCCTCGATTAGCAAACGTGACCCTTGCGCAGGAGCCATGCTAAACGAACTTCCCCGATGGAGGGCCTGCAAAACGACCAAAAAAGGAAAAACGCTTGGTACTCTCCACGTGCGCAAAAGACATAAAAGATGGCAATGTATTTCTCCGTGTTCTAGCAGTGGATTCAGTCTCATTTGCACATTTGGAGAGCAGTGCAGCGAGGCCCTCAGGCGAGAACAAAAACAATGGGCCCACAAAACGACAGAAAAAAGAGAAAAAAAGGAAAGAAACGAACAAAAGGAAAGTGGCAAAACGACACAAAAAAAAAGAAACGAAACAAACGAACAAAAGGGAACCTGTGTATCTCCCCATGTTCCGGAGCAGATTCAGTCTCATACGAACGACCAGTGTATCTCCCCAAGTCGCCGCGCTAGGCAAAAGAGGAACTCCACGTCCGCAAAAGACAAAAAAGATGGCAATGTATTTCTCCGTGTTCTAGCAGTGGATTCTGTCCCATTTGCACATTTGGAGAGCAGTGCAGAGAGGCCCTCAGGCCAAAACGAAAACAACGGGCCCACAAAACGACAGAAAAAAGAAAAAAAAGGAAAGAAACGAACAAAAGGAAACTGGCAATACGACAAAAAAAAAAAAGAAACAAAACAAACGAACAAAAGGGAACCTGTGTATCTCCCCACGTTCCGGAGCAGATTCAGTCTCATACGAACGACCCGTGTATCTCCCCACGTCGCGGGCCGAGGCAAAAGAGGAAAAAAAAACGACGACGCCCCGGGTGTCTGCCGGGCCCATCCCTGGTGTCCCCGACTCGTTCCTAAGAGTGGCAGCCGTGCCTGGCGGGAGCGTGACGCCAGACCCTCTATTCCCTTAAAGAAGGTAAGGGAAATGTCAGGCTCTACTCTCGTGGAGGACATAATGTGCTACATCAATGAAGTACTGGCATGCAAGCTGCACCTAGCATGTACTGGCATGCAAGCTGCACCCAACATGTACTGGCATGCAAGCTGCACCCAGCATCACCCTTCTGCCTCGTCCATTCGGGCGACGACAATCATCTAAGAGTCGGACCCCACTGCTCGGCTTCCTGGAAATTTCTTTCCAGGCTGGTGTGTTTGGGACTCCACTGATCTGGAAAAGAGGATGGAAACCCAGAATTGGAAGGTTTTTCATACCCCACAGACCATGGAAAGACGTTGCAGGAAAGGTGTCAGAAGTCTTTCTAGACGGTTGGAAGCCTGGAAACCGAACCGCACGGCCTTCCACGACCTTCCAACCGACTAGGGGGGGGGGCATGTTCTCCCGTGGAAAGAAGATGCCGAGCGGGCGTGGTTCAGCTGACGTCGCGTTGGACCGTTTCATGGGCGGCCAAGCCCCCTCGGACATGCACTGCCGTGTCGCACGGTTCCGATGTGGGTCGTTGTGTGGCTGGCCTGCGCGGGCCCTGATTTCTGAAACGGCAACGGATTTCAAATTAAAAAAACGGGCGGGCCGGGGATGACGGCCAGCCATGCAGGGGTGATCCAGCCAAGCACGGGCAGCATATGAGCGCACGTGCGGATCCCATTAGCCCCAAGCATTATCCTCATGCCGAGTACTGGGATGCAAAGGTGCGTTCGGAGTGCAATGTCATCGCTGAGGAGCATTATAGGCACAGGGCGCGAGGTCTGTGGTCGGCGAGATGGTTTTTGGCAGTGTCATCCGCCAGGGTACCCGCAATGGTTGCATACGGAAGGGGCGCCCGGCGCAGCGACAATTGTCCGGGCAGGGAGCCGTTCGGGGGAGGCCGTTTCGCCCATCAGTCATGGTGTGAACATACTGCATCGACTGCTGTTTCAGCCCGCATGGGCTGCGACGGGAGTTGTCGTTCCACGTATACCACCATTGTCTTCATCAGCTTTTCGTCATCCTCATCGGATTCCGCGTGGCCGAACGTACGATACCTATCTTCGTCGAAGTCCCCTGGACTTGGCTGCACGTGATTGCGTACTCCAATCTCCACATCTGCATAGTCCACGTGGCCGTTGCTCCTTCTTCCTGTCGCTGTCGTGCCTGTCCGTCATGCCATCATCGTTGCTGCCCCCCTCCGGTTGTCGTCATCCACTAAGCAAGCACTATTGGCAGGCGAACGCAGCAATTGTGGGCTACAATAGGCTGCTGTTTTGTTGTCATCATTGTCATATTCACGGCCTTGTTGTTGTCCATTTTCGTGTTCTGCGCCGTTCTCTTCTTCGTCTTCTTCTGGCCGGTACTGGGACTGTAGTGGTGCAGGCAGGCGATCTACTTGCGGTGGTCAGTGTCGACGTTCGTGGCCTTTGCAGGGGGTGGGGGGGGATGGATCCGAGTCGGTGGAGGGCCGAGAACCAGGGAGACATTGAGGGGGAAATGGATCCGAGTCGGTGGAGGGCGGAGAACCAGGGAGGCATTGAGGGGCAAATGGATCCAAGTCGGTGGAGGGCGGAGAACCAGGGAGGAATTGAGTGGGGGTTCCGACGCGGGACGGAGTCGACGTCCGCTGGCAGGCAGTCACTACTCATGTCCGTCATCGCCGAGGCTACAGTCCTTCACCGGACAGCTGTACGACGGGGGGCGAGGTGCACCGATTCTTGTCCCGGCAGCCCCCCTCCTCTCTTCACAGTCTCATGCAGACGCAGCGGGGCAACTTACCCGGTCCCATGTTCGCCCACCTCCAACCATTATGCCTGTTGGAGGTGGTCACATGGGACACACACCGTACGCCACACAAGTCGGTGGCAGGTATGGCGTGGGCAGTGCACATACGCTGAAGTGGGTTCGGCTTCGCTGCTCACGTGTTCCCCACGCAGCAGACATTTGAGAGGGGGAGCGCAATGTGGAATGATCGCCCTTGGTCCCCGCAATCCGGGCAGAATTCCCAGCCGTCGCACGGCATGTGCTCCAGCACCACCAGTCTGTCCAGCAGGCGATCACCTTCCACTCCCGGTCCTTCCACGGTGGACGTCGACGGACATGACATGGACAATGCATCGACGCCAAATTGCGGGACTTCTGTCCCGTCAGGGTTCGACAGTGATGCCGCAAACAACTACGATGGTCAAGCGTGCGAGGATATGGTGGATGACACGGGTAATGGAGATGGAGATGATGTTGACGACGATAATGGCGATGGAGGCAGTGTTCCAGAAATGGACAAGCGTGGTGATTCCAATGGGAGAAACGAGTGCAGACGTGGGTAGAAAAAAGGTCAGAACGACGGGCCACGGCCACCGAAAAACAAAAAACAAAACCTGGCGTGGACGTTGGAGGAGAGGATATGTTTGGCAAAGATGATGGGGGAGGATGACCCGCTCATGGCTGACGCCAATGGACAACATCAGTTCATGAAAAAGAAGGAGCGGTATGCGTGGGTGGCCGATCCCATGGCATCCGGTGGTTATCCTCAGAGAACTGTGGAGGACTGCCGTAAGAAGTGGACAACCATGTTGTCAAAGGCGAAGCTCATCCTTGACAAGTGCAAGGATGCATCGGGTCTGCCGTTGTACTGGGATACGGACTTGGAAAAGCAGAAGGAGTTGAAGGAGCCTCTCGCCTTCGAGAAACCACTGTCGGATGCCATGCAATGGAAAGTGAATCGACCATCCATGACGTGCGACCAGACATTGAGCTCTGAGGACCTGCCGGGAGTGGGAGAAGGAACACCGCCTTCAAGGAGAAGTGGTTCCGAAAAAATGAGGTCTCAGGCAAGAGGAACGTACGGCTCGAAGGCGCAACGAAGATGCGAAGAACGTTGTCAGGGAAAACTAGGATGGACGACGTGGAGACCAACGGATCGATTTGGGCGACGGCGATGGAGGAGTCGACACAATCCTACTGCGATGGTTTTGACAAGGCCGCTTCTACATTGGCGAAGGCAACCTCGGATGTCGGGATTGCGATGGCGGCGAAGATCGGTGATGTGGCGGAGGAAATAAGGGGAGGGAACACTGTCCTCGAGATGCTCGTAGGGGTTCTCGCCCGCCGCTATGTGGGGTCTACCGGTGGTGACGACAACAGCGGGGACACTAACCCGTCGTCCACCTGATA